TTAGATGCATGTTAGCTATAGTTTCATTTATTAAATCCCTTATATTCACAATTGATTGTCTCTGTGTGCTGCTCACAATTCGGAGTCCCTGAATGTTGATCCTTGCTACATGTTAAATTACTGCTAGTACTGCATAAAGTAGGAAAGCTATTCTTCCTTGGCCAGGAAAATAATCTTTCCTAGAATTGGTAAATGATTATATTGTCTGCTCGGTGGACGGACAGATCAAATTATTGTAATATTGATTCTGCTACAGTTAATTCTAAGATCTAATCTAAATATGTATTATTAATTATAACCAGTTATAATTCATTATAAATATTTCCCTTTTGAGCTAATTTGCTACAACAGCGGTGTCAATCTACTCATTCTGCAGGATATTCTAATATTGTTTATAATTTTTGCGCATCAGGGAGCCGCTATTAATATGCGGAGTGTTGAAATCGCTTTTGAATGAGCGCTCGCTGTTCACTTTTTGATTTTTTGATCGCTTAAAGAGAGCACATTTTACAAGATAAGATATTTGCCAATGAGCTCAGGATCTGTTTGAGCAGCAAATCCAGCATGGTCTTGTCAGTCATCTCTCCTTACTCTCGTCTCAACCCGTGATCAGTCAAATCTGACTCCCGCTGCTGGTGTTGGATGCAGGGGATACTTTCCCAGCGGTTGATTTTTCTCCCGTGGTTTAAAGGTTTGAAATATTGCCTAAATTGCATTTCACTGAAATGCTTGTATTGAAATATTTTGCATTCTACCTATGATAAAACTGTGCTATATTTTAAGTTTTGTGAAGGAGGCCCACTGGTAGGAAGACTTTGAGCTGTGTTTATGATCAATATACATAACAGTGACTGTAAAATATTTTATGGAAATGACATAGGCCTATATGAGTTTTGATATTTGGGATATGGTCATTGCCCTACTTTGGACTGTTTTGACTGGCCATTGGGCAAGTTTTGTCACGCAGACCTGGTAACCTTGGCTGTATGATGCAGAGCAGACTCTTTCAGTTTAGAATTGTAGCGTGCACTAATTGATTTTTATTTCCATAAAAAAGCAAAACGACAGTTATTAGCATACGACCAAACACCGCGTAACACCAATTACCGCAGCAAGCCTAGTTTTTTTGACCGCCCAGGCGCCCACAGCAGTGAAACCGCCTGTTCGGGATTCCAAACTCAATGCAGCCCTCTAGTCATTACCATGGCTTGAATGTTCCCTAGAGCACAATGCATGCTTTTGTTCTCCATGTCCAGTGTTCGGTTTTGCTTTCTCCAAAAATGACATTTTCGTTGACAGGTTTTTGAAACTGGAAAGCAGCATTAGAACGTGACCACGGTCTTCAAAAACATGCAAGAAAAATAGTTTAAGAACTAAAATTAAATAGTTTAAGAACTAGATCTATTTGCAAATATTTTTAATAGGTTACATGTCTGTCCTAACCACAACCTATAAACACGTCAGAGCCACATGTTTTGGTCTCAGTGGAGGGCAAGGCCATGCCATGAATACAAAAATTAAACTGAGGGGGGCAATGCCCTTTTTTTCACTTTTGTGGCACTGGGCCTGATTAGACACAACACCACACCATCATCTGCAGCCCACATTTTCTAGTCTCCTGCACATTTTGCACGTCCATAATCATTGTCTGTGCATGTCTCTGGAACTGCACTTATTGGAGTTGGAGTGGCAACACTCACAGTTGTGCTGTTGAGAACTACTCAAAGATGGTGCAGAAAAAAAAAACAAGACAAATGTGGAAACAACTGGATGTGCGAGGAGGTCAGAAGTAGTTGACAGAATTGTTTGAAACGGTTCGCGTCTCCAGTAAGCATTAATCCACAAATTACTTAAGTTATTCACTTTTTTAACGTGGCTGACACTCCCTCTGAGTCGAAATAAACCAATATCCCGGACTAATTAATTTACTCAAACAGTACACTGACTGAACTGATGTGAAGAGAGAACTGAAGATGAACACGAGCAGAGCAGAGCAGCATGTGTGCAGCGTGCCGGGTAATGAACGTACATGCCCACTGCTGGAGCGGTTCTCGTTTTCGAGTCAAGAACCGGTTGCATCAGTTTTCGGATCACTAGTACACTGAACAGAGAACAGTTTCTTTCGGACGCGTCCGATTTGAGAACCGATGAGCTGATGATACTGCGCATGCGTTATTCAGCCTGAAGCTACCGAACAGATTGCCTAATATGACTGACACAGCACGTCTGAACCGAACTAGTTCTTTTGGACAACTGATTCTGTGCTAATGTTATGAGCGCGAGTAAACCGAAGACTTGAATGAAGGGCAGTCTGGCGAAACGTAAGTTTATTTAATAACAAATAAATCGCAATGGATTATGTATAGTAAGTGGATCATGGTTTCTGCACTGATGACAACTAATTTATTTACTTTATATCTTCAAGACTTAAATCCTGGTATGCATATCACTGCCTGTTTCGGTATTTGGGTGCTTAGTTGCAAAACTTAATTGTAAACTTTTCATATCATGATTATGATGTTTTAACTGACTGAAGTTGTGATTACTGACTATATATTTGAATGTGTATTTTCATCCCGGCCCGGGACGATAGATTTTTTTTAATTTATTTATTTATTTTTTTTATTATGCAATAGAAGAACAACAAATACAATTACAAAGACAAGTAAGAACAAAAGACAATAAGGGTTACAAACAATACTCCAAAGCATACTATGTTAGCTTATAAGATTTACACCATGAAAGAGTCTTACATGCATGAGAATTATTAGAGTTTCTTAAAGAGTTTACATATACATCAAAATCTTTCCTGAAAATAAAAAAGTAGGGAGTTTTCTTTAAAAAAAGGTACACTTATGAATGTAAAATTTCGCAAGATATAGCAATAGATTAATACTAAATTTACAGTGAGAAGGGTCTAAATTCAAAGAGTAACCAAAAAACACTGGATATAAAAAGTTTGGATATAAATATTTTTTAATAAAATTGGAAAAGTCAACCCAGAACACTTTAGAATAAGCACAGTCCCAAAATAAATGATTGATTGTTTCTTCAGACTGAAGGCAAAAGGAGCAATTGGGAGAAATACTAATGTTAAATTTAGCAAGTTTTTAATAACCACCTCCTTCTTGAACGAACAAAAGCACCCTTTGCTTTTCGAATATACAAGTTATCTAATGAATTCTGAAGTTCAACTAATTCTGATTTCTGGTCAACAGATAAATTCTCAAAAGGAGAGCAGGAGAGGTAGACAAGTCTTTTAACAATATCAAGTTCCTCTGCTTTATATTGCTTAGCTTTTTGAGTTCCAGCTTTGACTAAAATTAATCTAATATTATATTTTAGCAGCTCCCAATTAGAACCAAAATTATCCTCGGCTTGAGCTTTGTTAAGAAAAAAAATAATCCTAGATATCACAGACCTACCCGGGACGATAGATTTTTATTTATTTATTTTTTTTATTATTATTATAATATATGAAACACAGAATGACCCGGGACGATAGATTTGATATCATTACGTCAACGCGAATGACGTCATTACGTTAGGGCGAAAAAGAACCGATGAACCGGTTTTTTGAACTAGTTCATTGAAACGAACTGTCCGAAAGAACCGGTTCGCGGAAAAGAACCGGACTTCCCATCACTATTCAGAAGGTACCTGCGATTCCGACAGCAAAATGTTGACTCCCTGCTGACCTCTGCAGGTCAGGTGAAGCATCACAAGGCCACCATGATGCACGTGTCGACTGCTTACGTTTATGGTCAGTGGAGTTTATTCAGGCCTGAACACTTGGGCAGAAGATAACCATTATGATCACCATAATAACCGAAGTCCAAATGCTCATCTCCACTAAAACACTTATACTACAATAAAATCACCTTAAGTTAAACACACACTTTCATTCTCTCTCTCTCTCTCTCTCTCTCTCTCACACACACACACACACACGGGGACCTCAAAAATGTCCCCACAAGGTCAAAATTTACTAGTATTACTATCCTTGTGGGGACATTTGGTCCCCATAACGTGATAAATACCAGGTACACACACACACACACCTAACAGTTGCATGAGCATTTCTAAGAAGATATTCACAGTAAGATTATGCCATTTATTCAAAACAATTAAAAATACTGACATATACAAATAGACTTATAGGCAGAAGCATAATGGATATTCAAATCGAAGAAGCGCATTTGATTTTGAGCCAAAAAGACAAATATTTTTACTTTTGCAGAATTAAGTTTCACAATTATTCTAGGTATAAATTGAATAGTGCCCCAAAGTTGTTGCAGTTTAAAGACAAAATATAATTTAGCCTATGAGATTCATGCAGAAACAAGGAGTTGTTGTATGCCGGTGGTTTAAGGAATCCATCGAACATTTACAAAATATTAATTTGTCGACACAACACAACCGAAGAGGTTTATCATTTAATGCAGTAGTTCTTAACTCCAGTCCTGGGGACCCACTGCTCTGCATGTCAAAAGACGCAAGTCGCAAGTGTGGTGCGTTTCTCTGAAGGAGTACGGAGAACAACTCGTGCAGTTAAACACAGTGATAATGTGCAGTTCAGCCTTGTGCTGCTGATGGTTTCAATCGATTTGTTTCTATAGAAGACTCAATCAATGCAGGACTTATAATATCCTTACTATTCTGGAACAGCAGCAGTAAAGGCATTAAAACTGCATGTTCTCAAGTTCAATTGATAATTCAACTATTTAATTATTAAACAATAATTAAATAATTATTACAGTGAAAGTTAAGTAAAGTTTCATTATAAATAATAAGTTATTTTTATTTGAGGTGGGTTTTTCCCATGAAACACAGTATTATCTAAAAGCCGATTGCAGTGTTCTTCACATGAAAACACTGGGCAATCACTGGCAGTCAAGTTCAGTTGCAATTTTGCTTGGTTCATTATAAAAAATTATATTGTATCAGGACTTGTACTCTGCCTTCATGCATACTATAAAAATTACACCACTAGATTATCATGATCACAATCTTAGCAAGAAGAAGAAGAAGAAAAAAAACAGGTGCATGACATTCATGATCAAAAAGTGCTGCGAGTCTTTCAGGTGTTGAAAACAAATCGGATACTCATGCATTTTAAATGCTCATCAAATCATCTTCATGTCAATCTCTGGTCTCTGCTGCTGCTCCGAGTCGTCTCATTGAGCTGATGGACTCTATGTGTCGTCTCAGCTTGGACTCCCAGTCGTCTGATCGCTCCAGAACTTCATAGCGCGTCTCCAGCGTGTCTAACGCCTGCACTGCTTCAGGGAGGTCAAGGGTCAAACCAGCCTTCTGCACGGCCTCCTGAAACTTGGCAGGTGATGCGGTCGCTATGCAGCATCTGAGTACAAAGAGCTTCTGGCTTAAATTACACTGTACAATTCGTTAAAAAAACAGGAAGAATAGCTACTGCCACAAGTGTGATTTATACATGCCTATTGGCTTAAATGACACTGTACAATTCGTTAAAAAACAGGAAGAATAGCTACTGCCACAAGTGTGATTTATACATGCCTACATGCTCCAACTTCACCAGCAGAGCTACAGATCAGACAAAATCAGACCTGCAAACTCATTTCATTGAAATCGCATCGCAATGAAATTCACAGCTCTGACATTGAAATAGGTCATTCACAAGATTAGTGCAGATCCGAGGAGTTTTTATTTAGGAGGATTATGAATGAATCTCTGAGGGGAACTGAATGTTGTCAGAAAAGTTTCAATAGAATTTTCTTTTCATCTATCCTCCATATGACATTTAGTAACGCAGCGCTGGTTTGTGTACTGGGGTAACCGCTGTATTTCTGCTTTTCCATAACCATCAAAGAGCGACTTTTAGCGAATTTTCATTTAGCCCGTATGCCAGTTTTGTTCAGGCAAATTAATTTACATATGTAATAATTTATGATTAATGATAATTATAATAACAATATATTAATATTTATTATAATATATTTATAAAAATATAATCGTGTTATTATTTTAATCAAAACTTGCATTATTTGAACTGTAACAGGCCCGTTCACACCAAGAATGATATCTATAAAGATGATTATAATGATAACCATATTAGTGTTTTGCATCGATATCGTTCTTTTTATCATAAGCAGCACAAGCTGCAGTTTTGTCATCTGCCACTTTAATTGCTCAAGCTCTTTAAGCAGGATGGATTCTGATTGGCTGTCAATGTTTTTATCATTCAGCAGGAAAAATCATTGTAAAAGTGATTCTAACGATATTGTTCCTCTGTGCTGTTATCGTTACAGTTGTGGTGTGGTCTCGCTAATCTTTTACATTTAGAACTATTTTGAAAACTATATCTTTATTGTTACAACATTGGTGTGAACGGCCCTTAAATCATAGCTTTTAACAATCATTTTACAGTTTAGGATGTTAAAATAGACATTGGTGTTGTTTCAACAACATGTAGTTCTCTTTCAGCTGCAGATTCCAAGAAATTTTTGGAAGAAAACAATTCTTTGAAATCCCCCCCATCGTCACCTTTTTCACAGATATGCACATTTTGTCTATATTAATCTGACTAAATCTGCCTTTGGAGACATTGCAGGATGTTCTCACATTAAAAAAACAATTCATGAATAAAATTTCAAAGTTAGAGGTGAAAGGATAAATTATATGACAGGCTCAGGTATTATAAGGCTTATAAGTCAAGCGTGTGCATGTGTGTGTGACCTGTTTTCTCCGGGTCTGATGGGTGTGTGATAGTGCTGCCACACGCCTACAGCAGTATGCGGACAGATGAGATAGTGATTGTCCTGCCAGCATCTCCTCATGGCCTCCAGTATCCCGTCATCAGACACCGACCCGGATGACAACACCTCACACAACTACAGTGGAAAATGTAACTCTATTATCATCCAGCTCTAATATGCTATATGCGACTATAAGGCATGAAGATATTATAAACATTAAAGGGTTAGTTCACCCAAAAATGAAAATTCTGTCATTAATTACTCAACCTGGTGCTGTTCGAAACCCGTAAGACCTTCGTTCATCTTCGGAACACAATTTAAGATATTTTTGATGAAATCTGAGGGCTCTCTGACCCTCCCATAGACAGCAAGGTAACTACCACGTTCAAGGTCCAGAAAAGTAACAAGATGATCGACAAAGTAGTCCGTGTGACATCAGTGGTTCAAGTTACGAAGGAGAATACTTTTTTGCGCAAAGAAAACAAAAATAACGACTTTATTCCACATTTTTTTCGTGTCGTTCACGACAGTATCATGACGCGAGCGTGTGGTGGCACTGAAAATGTGGAATAAAGTCGTTATTTTTGTTTTCTTTGCGCAAAAAAGTATTCTCGTA